ACGCCTTCGTCTACACATCGTTAGATCGAGAGGTCTATATGCGGATGCTAAAGGGTTATTAGAAGCCCGGCACTATCTTACGGATTAAGAAAGCTCTTTATAGGCTAAGAATATCCCCACTCCTTTGGCAGAAGGATCTCACAGCGACGCTCACTTAACTTAGGTTCTAGATTGTACTCCACGAGCCCTGCTGTATAATTAAAGACGGAATTATTATCTTCTACTACGTAGATAATATTATCTTAGCCTATGGCAAGGATTAATCTAAGAAGGCTTAAGAAGCAATAGATCAGCTTAAGCAGCGATACTCTATCACTAGTAGAGACGATCTACAGTGGTTCCTTAGGATCGAGGTGATTAAGGATCGATCTAAACAACTAATCTACCTCTCCTAGGTTGCCTACTATAAAAAGATTAATAGACTAGTAGACGATTAGACAATCCGCCACGATACTCCTATAGCGACTAGCGAGCTTATGCCTAGAGAAGGACTAGCTACCCCGTCTAAGATCAATCGATACCAGCGGAAGATTGGCTCTCTCCTCTACGCCGCTGTTAATACACGCCTAGATATTGCTTTTGCGACGTCTAGACTAGCCAGATTTCTCGCTAACCTAAGTCAGGAACACTAACAGGCTGCGGATCGAGTGTTACTCTACCTATCCGACACTAAGTGGCTGACATTACGATTGGGTGGCGGCACCGCTATACAGGTAGCCAGTAACGCATTATTTGCAGACAACACTCTAGATCGCAAAAGCTCTTAGGGCTACGCGATTAAACTCTTCGGCGGGCTGATCGCCTAGCGATCTAGCAAGCAAGATACCGTCACTACTTCAACAACTAAAGCAGAGCTCTTAGCACTCTCACAAGTAGCTAAAGAAGCGATCTTTACCTTACAATTGATTAGTGAACTTAAGGTTAAGCTACCGAGTCCTACGATTACTATCTAATGCGATAATCAACAGACGATCCGTCTTGTAACTCAAGCAGTATCAAGACTCACCACGAAGCTCCGACACGTAGATATCCACAACCATTGGCTCCGACAGGAAGTGACGAACTAGAGGATCAAAGTAGTATACACAAAATCCTCTAAGATGATAGCTGATAGCCTCACCAAAGTACTCCTAGTAAACTAGTGGACGGGCTTTCTAATCCAACTAGGGCTGGTCGAAGTTAGGGATCGAGAGCCACACAATTAGTCACCTGTTGTAGAGATCTAAGCTCAATTAGAGCAGCTTAGCTGTGATTAATCTAGCTTAAGGCTCTTGAGCTGAGGGGGTGTGTCAGAATATAGGCATATTTTGGGTGGTGGACAAAATCCGGGTGTTCGGAGCTGTGGATTCTGTGGATCAGTTAAATTAGTCAGCACGCACAATCCACCGCGACCCAACTGATCGAACAGCGTTGGACAACAGAACAACATGACATCAGACCAGAACAATACAATCGATCCCCATCATATTATTATACTATTATCCCCGTTTTTGATAACCCATCACAATCTGACAACTACCACCAGCAATCAGACTTAACTCAACTATCCGGAACTACGCAAGCAGAGCAAACCTGCTAGCTAACACCTATCTAATTGCAAAGGCAATAACTCGGATCTAATCAACTAATCTCTAACGCTCAAAGAAACTAAACCAGCACAGACAGCTACAAACTATTACTAACGTAATTCCTAAAAACAACAAAAGAGACACAGAGCAGACTATCCCATACCGGTTCAGGCCATGGGATACTCTAAACTATACCGTAACAGTCTCTCAAAAATCCAAAGAAAAGGAGGCAAATGCGCACTAAGCCTACATTAAAACAAGGCTAGACAATTACACGACAATATACTCAGACGCCTCGCAAACACAAGAAGGAAAAGGAATAGGAGTTAGGATAGCAGTCTACAACTCAACTCAGCAAGAGATCTACTTAGAAACAGTTAATATTAGACAATACTAGCTAGTCTACAACGGCGAACTAGAAGGGATCACACAAGCATTCGAATACGCAGCAAAGAACGCTACAACCGACCAGGAATTTGAGGTCTACGCAGATAACTAAGCAGCAATCTACAGGCTTAAAAACCTATCAGATAACCTAGGACAGCATTGGCAACTCCGATGTCTAAAAGCGGCAAATACGATCCGACGAAAACAAGCAAACATCCACCTACTCTGGGCACCTGGAAACACAGATATAGTTGGAAACGAAAGAGTAGACTACCTAGCAAAAGAAGCAACCAAAGAGGACCCCAGATCAACAACAAAGAGCATTGCCTACCTAGGCACGACAATCAAAAGGATACAACAAACGGAACAACGCTAAGAGTATAAGAAATACAAAGCAAGAGCAACCGCTCTAAACAAAGCTACCTACTCAGCCAAATACCCTCTTAAAATCAGCAAAACTATCCAAATGCCACAGAACACGAAAAGAGTAACCTCTAGCGCTTTCTACTCTCTTAAGCTAGGACACGGATACTTTAACTCCTACCTAAAGAGATTTAAGAAACGAGACTCTAATCGCTGCACCTGCCAAAACATCTAAACGCCAGAACACCTACTACTGTACTGTCATCTATACAAAGACTATCGAAAAACGCTCCTACAAACAATTAAACATCGCCCAGTCACACTACCACTACTACTCCACACTAGTATAGGTATAGAAGCAACCCTAGCTTTTATCACTAGCACCAGAATAGGAACAAGAAAATGGTACCTAGGACAGCCACCAGAAGACCTACAGAGAGACACTGTATAAAACTAAAACCACAACCCTCTCCTTTGCCACAAGAGCCCGCTGCTACATCTCTTTCTACTTATCAAACTGCTCTTTAGCACCTAGCAACAAACAGATACAAGCTATCTTTTGTAGAAAAGCCAAAAACCATATTAGCGAACCATACCAGAAAATCACGTAATTAGAAAAACCAAGATAGAACGGCCTTCGGCCAAAGTCCTACATAGTCTCTGACTGAGAAAGGACTCTAATGGAATAATAATAATAATAATAATAATAATAATATAGGTTTCAGAAGCCTAGGTTCTCCGTCAGTATTCCCCTTTACTTGTTTCTCTCAGACGCAGTCAATAATTCTAGCAATTATATACTAACATAACTTGTAGAACGCGAACGAGAAGGTTATGGAGATTCTTAGGAAATACAAGAAATCAAAGAATACCTCAAGTATGCAGAGGGCGGCCGAGTCTATCATTGAATTGCTTGATCGCCTAATTAATTACGAAGAGTCTCGTTGTTGAAGGCAATGCATTTTCGATAGAAGCTCACGAATATGGATGTTTTACTTGGGGAAGTCAGTCTTGAGCTTAGGATGTGCATGGTTTTGTAGTCTAATCATTAACGGGAAGGGCAAGGACGAAGACATCACATATTTTATTTTGAAGAGTTGAGATCTTTCGTAGTCTTCTAATTGAGTTGAGGTATGGAAAATCAAGTTGTTCCGACAGTAATGTCATACCTGTTTTCACTCTTTTTCAATTATTTATGGTTATAAGAAGCCGTTCTAATACATCCAATACTGCTGCAATCTTGCTATTATATTCATTGAAAGCTTTGATCGTCATTGCTTATTGATCCTAGATGGCTCAACAACATCCATGCTTGTTGTTGGACTTTTGCCCCTGTGCACTAGTCATTATTGGACTCCTGAAAAAGCAAACCTGTCAATACCCCAGATACTTTATAAACATCAAATGCCCGTCCATATTAAAGTAACCCAATTGTCGGATCACAGATATCAACGATATCTCAGCCACGCGATCGGCCGCACGGATCTCAGTCACGCGAGCAGGCGCACTGATCGCGGCCTCCGAGCAGCGCTCAGACCAGACCTCCTATATCTAGCTCTTCCATAGTTCTCCTTCGCCAGGACAATCAATCAGAACCATCACCGAACAGAATGCATTCCTAGTTATCGTTATTTCCTTTCAGCACTAGTTGTAACAGTACAAGCAGTGAGAGAAAGTTGCTATGCATTTTCTGATGTCTTGTTCTGTTCTGCTGTGGTGATGGCCTTTTATGGGGCCATCATACTAGTCTGTTTACATGACGTATCTGTGACATGGATAGGTGTAGAAGGTGCTTATCAGTAAGAGGAAGAACCATCTCGCCAACACGTGGCACCTAGGATGTCCTTACCCCATGAACCGTCACACTAGTGCTACAGTCCTACCAACACTAATTGAAAATTCACTTTGTCCAAGTCCAAAATCTGCAATGCTCGCTCAATCTAGCCGGAAGGTCGCCATCGTCGCTGCAGTGCTTTCACTGCTTCAAATCATTACTTTTGTCCACGATCATACTCTTGATCTCACACCGGAAGACGCCAAATCTGTTGGGACTGGCAGTCAAGTGATCAACTCAGACGGTGGCTCGAATACCAAGCAAGTAGAGGAATCCTTCCAGCGATACGCATGCCTTATCTCAGAAATCACAGCAGAATATCTACTATCGATCACCAGGCTTAACCTCCGCTACGTTGCTTAAAGAACCACATCGATAAAAAAAATTCTGATCTCATCCCTAGATGGAGAGTAGAGAAGAATATTAACGCTCTCGGGCTATGTATCTGCGGTGCTCAGGCCATGTAAATTACCCAAAGGCCGTCATGAACCTCAAACATTCTCAAAAATTCTTTCCAATCTCGAAACACCGATGGGAGTTTATCAACAGGTCCTTTCTCTAAAGTTTATCCTGATTTGTGTCGGATCTGCAGCATGATACTCTAGCATCGCAGCTTTCTCCAGCAAATCAACTCACGGTCTTTACATATCAACATATCCATAAGCACACTCATGTATCACCCGAAATAATTATACGATTACAAATATAGAGAATTTAAATCCCAGTCTACCTAGCGCCGTATATGCGTATCAAACAACAAAGCCGCACTCGATTCTTTTTCATCTCCAGACCCGTCACCAAGCCTCAAGGTTATCACCGACATCCTTCAAGAGCGTCTTCTCAGAACACTAGTCTGCCTTCTTCGTAGCCTTTGTCCTCAACTTCATCATCAAGAAGACGAGTGAGTAACTACTTACAACGAACAGCGCAACGATGCCCACATTCCTCCAGCCATAGTACTCCTCCTTCACGTTCAATCCTCGAAGATAGTCCGCTCCAGTCTTGTACTGGCACACCTCGCACCCAGATGTAGCATCTGGGTTGAGTAGATGTGTGCCAACGCCCATGCCCTGTTGGTAGATGGAGAGGTATTGTCCGCAAGTCTGATTGGCGGCTGGTTCGAAAATGGCAAGTTCCTCTTCTTTGCATACCACGTCTGCAGACCAAGTGGTGAAGACGAGAAGACAGGAGATGAGATAGTTGAAGGGATCGAGGTAGTACATCCTAAAATGTGCTGTTAGCATGTGTTATGTGGGAAGGATCTCTGCTGTACTTACCAGTATCTCCAAAAGGTCTGGATCTGGCTGTAAGGAACCAATACTCCAGAAAAAGACACGAGCGTGGTGATGACCAGTGGGTTGACGAGCGACGCGAAGACGACGTTGGGCGAGTAAGCAGCAATCATCTGCCCAATACCGGTGTAGAGGAATTCGTAGAGGACTGCGATAAAAAAGGTACTGCCTGCCCACTTTGCTGCGCCTGGTAATCCGGCAGTGAAGTACCAGCACCCAAAGTACATAAGAGCACATACTATCAAGTAAGGCACTTCCGAAACGATCAATCCGGTCACGAACGGCGCCCAATGATAAGTCTTACTCTTCTTCTCGCGCGTCTCGTAGATATCGCGGCGCTTGATAAAGAGTGGTTGGAGTTGAGAAATCACTCCCGGCGCCACAAAGATAAAGCTGAAAACGGTGAACAGGCGGAGTTGCAGGTCGCTAAGATTGTGGCCGATCTTCCAAAACGAGAATCCGTTCAGCAACGCTAGCATGATGTGCATGATGACCTTGTTGTTCACATAGGCGGTATCGCGGTATAGGGAAACGTTCATCCGGTGCGTGACAATTTTGACTTGGTCCCAAATGGGTGATGCGAAGGCGGTTCCATCGTCGACTGTACCTGGTGGGTTGGCGGCGGCCTCGGCGATGATCCTATCCAGTTCCGCAGACATTCTCTGGTGCTCTTGCGATTCCAGCCAGACCTTATTCCAGTCCATTCCCTTGGACAGACTGCCAGAAACAACTTCAATCATGTGTTCGGCGGGATTTGCCGCTCGTGGGCATGGCGCTCCGTTGGCTGCGAAATAGCTCTTGACTGTGCTTGCATTATCTCCAATATCACCAAAGTAAACGGTCTTTCCACCCTTGGCAAGGAGGAGGAGAGTATCGAATTGCGCAAAGAGCTGTGCCGATGGTTGATGGATCGTCACCAGGATGGCTTGTCCGACCTCCGCAAGCTTACGCAGGAAGCGCACCGTGTTGTATGCCGCCTGGCCATCGAGCCCAGACGTCGGCTCGTCGAGAAAGATGAGGGTACTTGGTTTCGATACTAGCTCAACGCCGATAGTCAGTCTTTTGCGTTGCTCTACGGATAATCCGGCACCAGGACGGCCGATCAGCGTGTGTTCGATATCTTGAAGTTGCAAGAGATCGACAATAGTATCCACATAGCGAAGCTTTTCTTCTCGAGGAGTATCGCGAGACTGGCGGAGTAGTGCAGAAAATTCAAGGGCCTCGCGCACCGTCGAAAGCGATTCGTGCACGTCTAGTTGTTCGACGTAGCCAGCGGAACGTTGAAAAGACACGGGAAGGTCTCGGCCATCGACCATGATGGATCCATGAATCGTACCATCGGTCTTTCTTTGGGCGAGAACATCTAGCAAGGTCGTTTTTCCGGCCTAGAAATCTTGTCAGTGTGTGTATGGCAAATGAACATCGCGCGACGCCACTCACTCCAGATGATCCCATCAAAGCTCCGAGGGTTCCTGGTTTGACGAAACCTTGCACATTATCCAAAAGCAAGCGATCACCGGAAGGTGTCTTGACGGTGTATGTGAGATTTTTCCATGTAAAGATCGAAGTGTTGCGGATGAGCTGATCAGTAAGGGTATCGTCAGACTTTGCAGAATCGGAGCTGGGGTGTGGTTTTTCGACAGGCTGAGACTCTTCATCCGCTGCTTGGATGAATGTTGACCTTTTCTTCTGTTCTTTTGGGATAAGTAGACCACAACCGCCCTCACCCATCTGCTTCCATCTCGAAGTGAAGAAGACTGTGAGTGCGATGAAGAAGATCCACCATGCACATACAATCCCAAAGTTGCGCCACACGTGGCTATGATGGAAGGATAGATGCGCAAGATAGTCGTCACCCGTCACGCTGGTGGCGCCTGGACGTGCACCACCAACTCCAGCGCATGCTTGTCCGCCATCTCCAGATTGATATCCCGCGCCGTTTGGAACCATGTTAGGGCCAACGCAAGGAATTTCTTGACCATGAAGTTCATTGCTGAGAAGAGATTCAAAAGAATAGGCCATGGGGTTGATCCAGTAGATCCAAATTAGCCAGTCTTTCATTTCAGGCTTGATAATCATGTATCCCATATACATGAAGAGTGAAGAGACGCTGAAACCCGAAAGCTTGGTAGCATCATCGAATGTTGGAAACGCCGCGCCGACCATGCGGAAGAAAGCGATCATGCACAGGGCAGTGATGACTAGATGGCTCCAGTACGTGAAGAAGGCTTCAGCAGTAGTCTTGAGTCCGACCATGAAGTAGATGACGATGCCAAAATGTGACATTTGGAATAATACCAGGGGGATATCGGTAATCACTTGGGCAATGACAAAGGCCGCAGGGTAGTGCAGCGCGAATGATCGATGTTTAGATAGCACGGGTCTGCCAGTAAACGAGTCCGTCACCTCGGAGAGCCCGATGAGAGCCGGATACAACAACGAGAAAAAGACTGCGCCGCCTTTGAGAAAGAGACCGGAAGAGTTATCTGGGGCCGAATAGAATAGTGATCCTGCAACGAGGGCTTGGATAACAGTAGAAACCTGCTTCACAATCAATGTTGGCTTGTCACCCCACAAAATCTGGTACTGCCGGATAACAGTGGTCTTGACTTGGGAATAAAAGTTTGTAGTGACTGGAGATTCCTTGGGAAGAGACTTGTGCTTGTCGCGAGCTGTCATCTCTTTAAAGTCGGCTGTGTTCTGCTTTGCCTCGTCGCTGTTCGGGTAGTCGAGCTCGGCCATCATCTTTGCTTTGATGGGTGAGCGTCCGTACGCTGCACGTATATCTGTGCCATTGCGTGGGAACTTCTCCTCGTACCCATCAGCAATGACTCGTACACTAGGGTTGGTAACACCGGTCAAGAAGTCCGCCTGGTTCGCCGCTGGGTCACAAACGAATCCGAGATCCTCCATGAAGGGGACCGCATCTTCCCGTGGACCATAGTAGATTTGCTTGCCGTTGTCGAGAAGCAGTACTTTGTCGAATTGTTCGAAAATGCCATTGCCAGCTTGATACAACGTCGCGATCGTAGTCAAGCCGAGAATATCAGTCATAGCGCGCATGGCCTTGGCCCAGTCCAATGCGGATCCGGCATCGAGGCCCCGTGTTGAATCATCCCAACAGAAGACGCTACCACGAGTGGCAAGGCATTCAAGAATGGAGACGCGCTTTCGTTCTCCGCCTGAAACACCGCGGACAAATGCGTCTCCAACCTTGGTGTCGTGAGTGTGCTCGATACCCAAGCACTTGAGCAGGAACTCTTTGTATGCTCGTGCATAGTCGTCGGTAGATTGTGTGTCTGGTGGGAGGTTGAACGGAACCTTCATACGTGTTGCAAAGTCAAGGGTGGCTCCGACAGTCAACGTTGGAAAGAAGATCTCCTCCTCCGTATTCATGACTAGCCACATATTAGCTCATGCAGTGGCTCGGATCTCTGATTAACTCACTTATTTGGCCCCGATATGCGCTGGCTTCTTCGCTAGACATGGATCCAAATGAAACGTCACCGTTGACTTCAGCGTAGCCTAGCCGGTGGTTCGACAACATGCTCAGCAGTGAGGTGCAACCGGCACCTGGGTTTCCGAGAACGAGCAGCATCTCTAACGACAGGTCAGTGTATGTACCACGTACTCCCGGACTGTTCAACATGTACCTCCAGGTTTTACGCATCCAAAAGACTCATCAATGATGGTCTTCATCGGCGGGGCACCTTCTCTCCTTCCAAAGACGTTGAATTGTGACAAAACATTCTCGTTGAACACAGCATCGTTACTGATGCCCTTGACGGTGAGGTTGTTCCATGTCACACCGAGCCTCCGAGGTTTACCACCGTTAGCTTCATCGCGTTCTCTGAGTACCTCAACTTCCCGGACGATCGGTGAGGGTTGTATGTCGATGGGCGAGCTCTCATCCTTCTCTATGATATCCTCACCAGGTCGCTCGATGCTGGTCCCAGAGCTTGGGGTCAAGGCTTGCATCTGGTCTGTAATACTTTCAGGATTCACTGCGTAAGAAATTTGAGACACAAGGCTGCGGAAGATGAAAAACTACATTAGGCCAAAGGAGACAGGCGCAGCATTATATTTAGTCAAACGCATTCGTACCTAAACACCTTGCATGTACTTTCGTCCGCGCGTAATATTACACATGTCTGAGCGGGAGATGTTCAGACCGCATCGTACTTTTACGGCCGTATAGGCGAAACAGTCAAAGAGCAACTTTACGCCTTGCCTAATCGGGCCGTTACTTGTGAAAGACCGTGGAGAGCGGGCGAACATCCCGCCGACTACTGCGTTCGGCCTCCAGAACGCCGATGAGGACCTTAAGCGAAGGACGTCGGATGAATTTTGGGCATGCATATGTATAAATGTGATGATCTTCCTCATCTGTCGATTGGCTGTTACGCTGTTGCTGACTCTCTCTTTTCCATGATTAGTCGCGAGAAGGAGCCTAGCATGAATTGAAACGCGATACACGCATATACTCGCTTCAGATTCGTCCGCGTAGTAGATGACCTGCTAGTCTTGACTGATGCGCAGTCTGTGGTCTGGTCCAATGTCTTGTATCCAGGATACTGCCAATTGCTAAACATCCTCGGCCAAGGGTCACACACTACCCAAGACACGAAGCAATATGCATAACTTAGTGGCGACGTCTCTAAATATTCGAGGTCTGAGAACATGCGTTTCTTGATGTGATTTGGTAATTCGGTGATTCGCCACTTCAGCGCAATCCCAACCTCCAGCCAACAATATCCTCCTATTTCGTGCGATTGCTGGGTTGCGCTCATCTCGTCTATTGCGTTTCCCATAGCTCTACAGATTCTTCGTCGCAACTGTGATAAAGTAATCGTTTGCTGACTGCTTACCTAGCCTATGGCGACATTGGTGTTGTGCGTAAGTGCAGGACGGATGACGGCACATGGGTTGCTTCCGACCACCGACCACCGACCACCGACTACTGTAAGTAAATCATGTCATCAAGGAGAAAAGACGGCTGACATCATGAGGCTGAAAGTCGTAGACGGCCCCAATTACACTAGCAACACATCATTTAATATTCTCTTCTTTTCGCATGTACCTCATAACTGACGACTACGCTATGTAGTTCTCCTGCAAGTATTGTCACATCATGTCTTCCGCCACGATCCTAGCCAACCCACGGATCTCGCGGGTAGCTTGGCCGATGCCTTTCATCCTCATCTCGCACTTATCCTGGCCGACTATCTCCGAAAGCTCAGCTCAGCCCTTCCTTGTGCATATCGTCATCGTAGTGGTATTTTTGTCGTTAACGCAGGCATCTTCTGCGTGTCGGACTGAGCAAAACGCGACCGGACTCGGCCCGCGCGCTTTGATCTCCCCCATATTACGAGCTCAGGGATCTCAAAGTGATCGGGGAAGAGCCACAGACAACCAAGGCAGTTCTCTCGGCAATGCAAGTCCCACTGCCTAAGCAAAAGTTATTAAGATTTCCGACTCGGCATCGGCGTCTGCAGAGGCCGAAGTAAAGCAACAGGATGTATCAGGCATGTCCACGCAAAGGTTCAATACCGGGACTTGAAAGGCTTAATTTGAGTTGCATCGTAAATTAATACAGTGAAGCATAACGCTAAGCATCGGCTGCTGCGTTCCTCCAGTTCGTATCCTCCACTCCCGTCGTGCTGCTTTGACGCTTCAGGTTTCTCGTGCCAGTACCGGCGCAGTGATTTGTATGTTGTAATAGTTAACCAACAATACATATCGACATGATGCGGACATGTGTTCGTGATCAAATGACACAAGGCACTACCACTTCTTCCAACCGTTCCGCTTGCAGTAATTGCTAGCCCAACGGACCACATCTCTGCGCTGAACGAGATCGAATATCGCATCAAGTGCATCAAGATCCACAATAAGCGGCGCTGAAGCACACCCAAACTTGCCAGGGTCGCGGAAGCTCCAATCCAGATAGTCGGTCTCAGGGTATTCGCCTTTGCAGTAACACCTCTTACCGCCTAGTCTCCCTATTATACCGCAACGTCCTTCCATGTCCATAGCATTGCGATAACCATCAAGAAGATTTCCGCCAACGACAAGCAGAGTTGCTATCAGTCAGTTCAGTCAGTCCGGAGCTCTCTGGACTGACTGAACTGACGTCCTGAGGTCACTGAACTGGACTGGACTGACTGCCAAGACTTTTCAATTAAACTAAAACTGACTGACTGAACTGACGTCGCCGCGGCCTGCGGACTGACTGGACTGACTGAACTGAGTTACCTGACGTCGAACTGAGATAAATGCTCCTGTACTTTTGAGATTTCTTCCTCTGATAGTGTGCGCGCTAGCCCAGAAGCTGAGGTAGTTGTTGGCTGTATACCAAGCCTCTTCCAGCTCTTCAAGCTCTGCAAAGCTGAAATAAGCTCTGGCTTCATATGGAGTCTCCGGGTGCCTAACATGTCGCCAAGCTCGCTGAAAGTCCGCTCACAGTCTGCCGCTGCTGCTGGTATTGTTAGGACGTCAATAGCGAACTTTGAGAGTATAGGGAACTGCCCAGCAACTGACTCCCAGTATAGAAGCGGATTAAGAGACAGCCAATCCTCCTCAGCTAACGCTGGTTGCCGCTTCCATATCTTATACTCATCCTCAGCAAGGCTTGCCTCTAACTGCCGTGTGCTTTGCTCAATTGACGACTGTAGAAAAGCTGATCGCGACGTTGAAATCCCTAGCCGGGGCTTCTTACGCGGCGGCGTTACAGTGTGAGCTGAAGTGGCTGCAGAGTCCTTCCGCCCCTGCCACATGCGCAGGAATGCCCGGTGGTTATTGTCAAGCCAGCCGTCGCGATAGTGGACACCGTCACGGGCAGTGACATGGGTGTTAGGCACCTTCTAGAGCGCTGAGAGGTGGTGTTTGTAGTGCGGGTGTAGTATTGTAGCAGTGTAGTAGACAGGCGCATTATCGAATTTTGCGTAGTACTCAGCAAGCTTACAATGCGCAAGGTTAACGTTTGTAATAAGATGATCTTCAGGCGCATCTAGATCTTCGTAATTTACATCCTTAAGGCGGTCTTTGAGAGCCTCAAGCTAGTCAAGAAGCCACTCAAACGTTACTAGAACTTCCTATATAGCGCCGTGTCGGCCGTGTCGGCCGCGACCTTCAAGTAGCCGTGTAGCTTCGGCAAATAGCTCAAGGAGTCGAATGTATTCTGTTATTGTCGCCCAGTCCTTGCCGCTTAGACCCCCTTCGCGTATATATAACCGTGGCTGGGCAGCAGGGAGCTGCTCACGATTCTTCCGGCGTCGTGAGGTTGCTGTTGCAGCACTATGCTCCTCAAGTTTACACTCAATATAGCCATCGATAGGGCCGTGTAGCTCAGCTGCACGGACAAACGTGTTGAAATAGCTATTCCAGCGTGTCTTAACAGGCTTCACAAGCTGCCAGATGTGGGGTGTAACACCTAGAGACTCTGCCTCCTCGCACTGTAGGCGCTCTAGTAGTTGTCGAGTTTGAGGCGTACAGATAGACGCAATCACGTCAAAGAGGACGCCAACAGGACCGTATTTGCGCCACTCATCCATGTACTTCTCCTCTTCCTCAAGGTGTGCGGCTTCATTCTCGTACGCGCTACGGTCTTTGCCCCAAATTACTAATTGTGCGCTTAGGTTGAGTATATGGCAGCAGCACCGCAGCCGCCGCTCGCTTGCGATAAAGCCAAACTCCTCTGCTAAGGACTCAACTGCAGTATCATTGTTACTTGCGTTGTCAAGCACAAAGTACCCAACCCTCGCGTTGTCAACGCCAAATAGCCGAAGTATTGTTGTTGCTGCAGCGGCAATATTATTGCCAGTGTGCGCCCCGTGTAGCTCAGGCAACCCAAGCAGGTGGTCAACTAGCTTGCCCTCGCTGTTAAGGTAATGTACGCAGAGGCCAGTAAAAGCATACTGCCCACCAGTTGAAGTCCAGTTGTCGAATGACACGTGTATAAGCGACCGGGCTTCGCGAAGGTAGTTGGCAATAGCTGGTATGTATGTATTGTACTCAGTAATAATATAATCGTGGAGCGTTTGGTGGCTACGCCAAAGGAGAGCTTCGGCTAGCGGGCTCACGGCCGCAATCATGGCTCGAAACTGCGGCGTTTCTATTACGCGAAGGCTCTGGTTGTCCGCGACTACCCAGTCCTTCAGCGCGTCCTGAAATCGAGAGGTTGAAAAGCTTGCTGCTATCTCGTTTGCTACCTCTTGCGATACTTCTATCCCTTTAGACCTCATAATATGTACTTGGGACTTTGCGAGCGCGCCCATAATATTGCCCTCCCGGCTAGCAATTGGTACAGGTCCGTTAGGTCCGTGTGAGTGTCCAGGCTTGTTGCCTGAGAGGTGTCGGCCGGCGTTTGTAGTGCTGTCAGCCTCGTAGCAAGCCTCCTGCTTCCGTCGTTGATGGCAGTACCGGCAAAGCCAGTAGTTTTTCTTGTACTTGCGGTGCCAGACGGCCCAGCCGTGGCGGTAGATCCAGCTTTTTGGCCCACCGCGACTATTACGCTCAACCTGGCGCCGCTCAAGATACGGCACACGCTTAAAATCAAGCCCGTCGTAATTGTCGTCGTCGTCGTCGTCGTCGCCGTCGTTGGGGAAGTCCGCCTGTACTGCCAAGGGCTCATCAGCCTAGGCCTCACTCGCAGTATCGCCAACAGTAGGCGCGTTTGATAGCGATGGTAGAGGAGAATTGCGCTTGTCGCATTCTACAAGGCGGCGAAGGCCTGAATTAGAGGGAGTAGACATGAAGTACACCAAGAGGTATTATGGCAACAGTAGTCTAGCGTCGTGTGTATAGCAGACGCGACGCGACGCGACGCGAAAGGCTTACTAGGTGCGCACCGGGTAGCGCATTTCCGCAAACTCTAATTAGCTTAACGTGTCCGTGCGCGTGATGCGCGGATTCGCGTGATGCGCGGGGAACACCAAAACACGTCAAACCCCTTCACCTTCAACACACGTTAACTCCACCAATATGGACCCAATTCAAGCTGCGATTGAAGATATTGAAAATCTAGAGCCAGGAGAACAGTTCTCGTATACTAAAATTGCTGCTAAGCATGGTGTTGTGAGATCTACGTTGACCCGAAGGCACCAGGGCCAGACAAGCTCAGAAAGAGACAAGAACTTCAACCAGCAGAAACTCAACCCACAACAAGAGCTAGAGCTTGTGAGATATATCGAAAAGCTCACAAAGCGAGGCATTCCTCCTACACGAGAGATGATCAGGAATTTCTCATCAGAAGTAGCCCATCAGCAGCTCAGCGAGAGCTGGGTTACTCGCTTCATCAACCGACACGAGATCCATCTCATCTCAAAGTGGACCAGCGCCATGGATCGTACGCGCCACCTGGCTGATTCTGAGTCAAAGTATAGACTCTACTTCGAGCTGCTGCATCGAAAGATCACCGAATATCACCTAGAGGCTCGAGATATATACAATATGGATGAGAAGGGCTTCTTAATTGGCTTGATAGGCAGAAGTAAGAGGATATTCAGCAGGCGTCAATGGGAGAAGAAGGAGGTTCGAGCATCTCTCCAGGATGGATCACGCGAGTTTCTGACAGTCCTGGCCTGCTGCTGCGCTGATGGGAGCTCGCTGCCTCCAGCCCTTATCTACGCAGCTAAAAATGGAGCTATACGATCGAGTTGGGTAGAAGATATCAAGGCAGGAGAACATGAGGTCTTTGTCTCATCATCTCCAACAGGCTGGTCAAATGATAACGTAGGCCTAGCTTGGCTGGAGCAGGTGTTTGATCGCTCTACAAAGCAACGATCAGGTAGATGGAGATTGCTCATCCTTGATGGCCATGGATCTCACCTCACGATGGAGTTTATTAAGTACTGCGATCGCCATAGGATCCTCCTCATGATCCTTCCTCCCCATTCGACCCATACGCTCCAGCCGCTAGATGTAGTGCTGTTCAAGCCACTCTCTCAAGCCTACTCTAACGAGCTCACTAACCATCTCCATAAGGCTCAAGGCCTTATTCCAATCAAGAAAGGGGACTTCTTCCCGCTCTTCTGGAGCGCCTGGATATCCTCCTTCACAGAGAGCCTCATATTGAAGGCCTTCGAAGCCACTGGGATCTGGCCGATGGATGCCAACGTTATCCTTCGTAGATTTGCTAGCACGCCAGAAGCTGAGAGAAGCTCATCGTCAGGGCTCTCTGATCATGACTGGAGAAAGCTCGATCGGCTAGTACGAGCTGCTGTTAATGATAGCCATCAGTATGAGGCAAGAAAGCTGCGCTCAAGCGTTCACCATCTCTCTGTGCAGTATGAGCTTTTAAAGCATGAGAACGAGGGCTTAAAGGAGGCTCTTCAACATAAAAAGAAGCACAGGAAGAAGGGCAAAGCTCTTGACCTTCAACAGCGCCAGGAGTATCACGGTGGCTCTGTCTTCTGGTCTCCTCGCAAGCTGCGTGAGGCTCGAGCTAGAGAAGCAGTACGGGAGCGAGATGAGACGGAGGAGAAACTCCAAAAAGCACGGTCCAAGAAGCAGCGCGAGGAGGCTCGACTGCAGCGTCAAGATGAGCTCGAGGAGAGGCGTGTGGAGAGGCAGAGACTCAAGGAGATGAGGGAGCTTGAGCGAGCTGAGAAAGCAGCTGAACGCGCGCGCCAGAAGGAGGAGAGAGACGCTGCTAAAGCTATACAACTACCCCAAAAGGGAAAGAGGAGAGCTTCAGCAGCTACCTCATCGAACAACAAGCGTCAAAAACGCGTTGAGGCTGCTCGCGCTGGTGCTCAAGTTCAAGAAGAGCCTCCAGCTCCTCCATCAAAGCTCACATCACGTGGCCGCAACGTCAACCTCCCATCAAAATATAGATAGTACAAGTTGATCGCAAGCATCTAATTACTCCCCCTCTATAAATTCGTATAATAACAGCTTATATACGTGGCTTAATAGCTTCATTTTTGAAGTAGTGGATATGGTGTTCCCCGCGCATCACGCGAATCCGCGCATCACGCGCACGGACACGTTAAAGCTAGATGCTTTAACTTATATAGGATTAGTGTCTTTATATCTAGGACTAGCGCGGCTTCGAAGCCGCACTAAATGTGGCTTTCACAACTCTAAAATACTGCTTTAAAAACAGCTAACGTCAGTCTAACGTCAGTCAGTTCAGTCAGTCTGGAGGCTTCTGAACTGACTGGACTGACGTCCAGCTGCCTCAAGAACTGACTGACTGAACTGAGTCTTGGCAGTCAGTTCAGTCAGTTCGAACTGAGTTACCTGACTGATAGCAAGTCTGACGACAAGGGCCTGCTTAATCGAAACATAGTAAACGGTAAGGTCGCCCTCCGGCCAAGCGATAAGAAAGCGGTTCTTGAACCCCGGTTTGAAGCATTCTTCTAATGTCACACAGTTGTACTGGTCTTTCCCGAGATGCCCCCTCTGCTCCTCAAAAGGTGGTGGAATCGGCCACCAGCTTGCGCCTACCATTTTGAGGCTCGTGCAAAACGTATCCTCGTCGATTTGATTGAACTGCCGTGCCGTGTCACGGAGACGATCAACTCCCAAGAAGTCGAGGTCCACGACGTCGGCAGCCTTTATCCACATCCCACCCGAGCTGGGCCGGCATGCTACTCGGGCCTCATGCTCCGTTATGACTGATCGCACTGTTGGCTCCGGTCTGAGCTGGCCCTCGCCATCCCTTACACACCATGCTCAATTCCCGCCCCATACGCTCCAAACATTGAGACAACCAATATTGCAGTAATCCTCGAAGTGGTGTGCTTCTTGTGTTTATCGGGTCCAGTCGGCAGGAGTGACATTACGTCGTCAACGCCGCACCTACAGTGTTCATCTGTCCCCACACAAAACGATCCTTTCGAGCGAACATGCGCTATTCGAGGGAAGAGTGTTAGGACATTGTATCCCCCCGTGTTATGCGAGTTTGCTTGTCAAAGTTGCCCTGCTGCTAATGATCTCCCACACTATGATTACACAAGCTGAACTGCCATGGTTGGTTTTGGGAAGAGGAAGGCTAACCAGATGTTGGGCATTCTGTCAAATTTGCTGAGTTATCGAACATGTCTAGCAAAGCCCATGATTATCGAGATTGCTGGAGCTGTTGTCCCCAAGTACGCCCTATGGGATCCCAAGGTATCTGATCCTGGCGGTAATACATTCCAAATGAATCGTGAAAGGCTCCGGAGTTAGGGCAAATCACAGTATCATCTCTTGCTACAGTATGATGACTACATGACATGCAGACTCCGCAACAATCAATCGGATCGGCATGATTGATTCCTATCTAGGTTAAAGGCTGCCTAATAAAGTAACTCTTTAACCTATATAGGAATCAATCATGTCGATCGATTGATTGTTGCGGAGTCTGATGACATGTTCGATTCGATGGGATTACCATCAATGACTCCAAACAGAAAGAAGTCATCATGCCGTACTCGCAGATTAATATGGAAATGCACATATGGGCAGCATGGAACAGCGGAGATCCGAATTGTATCAAACGGGGCAGTAATGCCATTGCCAAGGATCATTGCGTCAAGATGTACAACGAAATGATCAACACCTTCCCAAGCGACGATGGCCTGAAGTCTTGTGGAGGATCCAAGATCAACAACTGCATCATTTATGGGTTTGACATTGAAAGAAAACTGGGGGTGAAACCAGACGGGAGCAACTGGAGGAAGAGGCGCGGGCTGGTCCGTGCTTAGTGGAGTGAAGGAACCCGGTTATACACGAGACATGTTTTTTCCATATGGATCGTTGATCTTAGATCTATGAGACATCATAGGTTTACGTCGCAGGTAATTGTTTCTTGTCACCAGGATCTGGGCATGTTTAGAACTTATGCAGGGGGACGAAAGCCGCATGTCACATGGCAAGTTGCCAGCTGGCATATTGCTTATTAAGCCTCCTATTATCCATCATTACCCCGCGTGAGCGCTACACAAAGGGCTTCTCTGATTGCATAGCACAATAACAGTCTGTTGGGTAATTCCCGTGTCGCACGTGATGTACGGTCACACACACACAACTCCCAATAATCATCGACAGTAGCCTTGCAGCTTCCCAACAGCTGATCATAAAAGGGAGTAGGCCGATTGAACAGATTCCATCTCCGATGTACAGAACGCCCACGGTTCTCTAGGGAACCTAGCGCAGGGACTAGTCAACGTTAACACCTGCGGGCGCCATGGAACGCGTAGGGCCCAGGTCTCGCACTAGTGTTCTGCGTTCCATGGGTCGGAGTTTTTATCAATATACGCGGCCGTTGCGGAAGCTTGACGCGATGCAGGTGGGGTTTGTTGGTGTCACTTCTGTTGCCTTGCATCGTTCACTCCTGGTTTATTTCGAGGTGCATGGTGGGTCGACGGTTGACAATGGGCTCCAATACTAATCGATATTTTCAATGCAACCTGATGCATCGTGTGATACTTGATGGTGCATTACACCAAGTTCTCCATTAGAAACGCCACTGATGACTTCAAGACCCAGTACGATACGAGTGCCTACGTACCTCGTTCCTCTTTTCCAACACACCCAGCGTATTTCAGAAACTCTACAGTCCCAGGATCATGGTGCGGATCCTTTGTGTAGCCACCTCCGTGGGCCGAACTGCTGGATAAACTTCCCCCCGTCACCACTAGCCCTCAAACCTACCACTTCCTACTTGAGCCACGCATGTCAGGTCCCTTAGGATCATCCATCTCCAAGGAACTTGACGAAATAGTTCTGCTGTGGTTCAGCATTTGTCAGGCTTGCTGCCGAGAAGCCGTGATGGTGGTGGTACACCAAAGCCCTAACACACATCGATCCGTCATTGACCCGGCTAGGTGTGGCTGAGAGCAGTAGTTGCCTAACCATCGCTGTAATTATCCCTTAGTGAACGCACTAGACTCAGCATCGGGCGTCACTGGGTACGTTCAAGTATGGAAAAAGCCATCATCTTCCCGTCTATCGTTTCCGTTGAGGGTTTCGGGTCAGTGGCAACTCACCCCCGCATGCAAGTGCAAGGCTAAACTAGGCAGTGCATATTCATATGCAGGAACCGTTCACTTTGTCTGAAAGAATCTGGTGCCGTCCTAGGTAATCGGTCGGAAGTGCGGGGTATTGGCATATATTATCAGGAACCATCGTTGAGTCAGTCCTCCAGTCTCTTCGGCTTGAGTCCCTCTCTCGCATCGCCACACGTCGTATATCGTAGCCTCCAAGACATTCCTATTGACAGGTCGTCATCATGTCTTCGCTTATACGCCTGCTGCTGGGGTCCTTTTTCATCGCGATGGTGGTCGCACAGTTGTCGCCGAATACGACAGCCAGTGACATGCTGAGCATGATACCAGACTGTACGGTAAGACTCATACCGATTCCATGGCGATAGTAAGATAGACTAATGACACGTTCATCGTAGATACCATGTGCGGCCAAGACCTTGTTCAGGGAAGGGGGTTGCCCAGAGACCAACGCGGGCGAGATATCAAAGTGTGCTTGCACAAACGTCAACCTGCAACGGCGTTTCTCAACCTGCGTTCAAAAACACTGTCGATTCGTTGACCAAGCGAGTAAGTAGGCCTGGTACTCCCTATGCTCAGGTTCATCGGCTAACAAAGCCTGCAGAGTTTAGCGAGTTCTCCAACGCAATGTGCAAGGCGTATCCGAAGGCATCACGTGTAAACGAGTTGAAGGCTACCGCCATTGCAACCATTGTGCTATCACTACCTTTCCTCTTCCTTCGACTGTACTCGCGATGGCTGAACAACCGGCTCGTATCCGCCGACGAAGCATACACTGTCGCCGCGGCAGCCTTTCTTATCGTGTTCTCTGTCCTCACACTGCGCATGTCGCTGATGGGCTTTGGTCTTCACTACTGGAACATTCCCTCTGAGCATGGTGTCGAGCTCCTGAAGTACTGGTATGTTTGCCAGATGATGTACATCATGGTGCAGATCTTTTCCAAAGTGGCCATCTTGTCGCTGTACTCTCGTCTATTTGGGGACCAAAGGAACTGGTTCCGCTGGGTTGTGCGTGGCATGATCGCTTTCATGTTCATACATGGACTCGTATTCTTCCTGCTAGTCACGTTCCAGTGTATACCGATCGAGGCGATATGGAACAAGCTCATCGATGGGAAGTGCCTTCCGATCAACTATGCCATCGGCTTCACTGGTGCATGCCTGAGCATAACCGAAGACATCATCATTCTGATTCTTCCAATTCCTCAGCTGTGGAGACTCCAGATGTGCCTCAAGAAAAAGATCGGGCTTGTCCTTCTTCTTAGTATCGGATCATTGTAAGCTCCCATCCTTTTCATTGTCTGATGCCCTTGCTTACATGAACACAGTGCATGTCTGACTAGCATAATCCGTCTCAAATTCGTCCTCGAATTCTCCAACTCCTATGACTCCACTTGGGATAACGTTGACGTCGTCAAATGGTCGGTCATTGAAGCCCTTGCGGCTTGCATATGCGGTAATCTGATGGCTCTTCGTCCGCTTGTCGACAGAGTCATGCCAACCATACGCTCAGTCGTCAGCCCTTACCCCTGGGGACTACGTCAAGCCTGTGAGAAGACTCCCAGCGGACTCGAGAGTCATGGCTGCTCGGATAGTAGCGATACGTTCGCCAACCCGAAAGTTTCTACCAACTCGGACTGTACTGAACTAAATGAGATGGCTGTAAGAGGTTCGAGAGAAGATGATCGGAAAAGACTGGTGACCCGGTGATTGCGGGATATATTGAGAGCGAAACAGAATCAAGAGTGGCGAATAGTATTGCATACGTTAATGATCATGACCCCGAGTTACGTGATACTACCTGAAATTCAGATTCCGAGCCCTGTTCATGTGATGGTTGATTATCTACATAATCGTGATGACTTATTCATGAGCTAAGTCAGTAGTGGAGCATATTGTAAACGGTTTAGTCTCCGCTCGTAGCTACCTCAACTCTTTCCCCGTGTGGATAGAGGGATGCTGACTTGTTCTACTTCGCTTCTATGTTGACCAGTAGTACTGGCGTATGCAGATGAAATGTACGCGCAAGAAGTTCAATGGTTGCTGCGATTTGAGGCGATGAAAGAGGACTAGTCTCCGGAGACTCAGGCCTCCAACTAACCCAGATTTGGCTCTACGAGTTCTGCGAGGGGCACTGAACCACAACAAATTCGCAAGTCTCACGGTACTCGAAAGCGCGCTTAGGTCTGTGGTCTTTAATCGCTCTCTTGTTGGCAAAATATTTCTCAGTGGAAATCGACATCAGGCCACAGTCTTTATCTCGTCTCTGATCTGCAATCGATAAGAATCAAGCCAGCTTGACTTGCTTGTTGACATCTCTGGTGACTTGAACCAAAGAACCTCCTCGAGACTGAGAGCGGTTTCGTCCCATGTCTGCAGACTCATATAACTGGCAAAGAGTTCTGCTTCTGTTGTAAACCAGGGATGATGTGGCGTTCCGTATGAGGCTACGATGCCGACAAATAATATCCATAGAAGCAGTGGCCTATGGTGAATCATGAATAGACCTGGGACACTTTCAATATTATCCCTGAGTTTCGAAACTAAGCTCCACTGTAATTCTGCGTGCGAGAAATAGGTTGTACCGTGGATGTTAAGCATGTAGAGAGCCGTAGCGTGCCGAACACATTGAGAGGTCTCCAATATGTTAGGAGAGCGTAGATCTGCTGTTGAAGACGGAAGAAGAAGTTTGTGCAACACAAAACAAGTGAGGTCGTGAAGATCGGTTGTCGACAAGTGGTGCTGGCGAAACAGATTGCGGAGCCGAAAGAATACGCCTCCTACTAGAGGGTCAAGTTGCAGATCGACCAGATATGGCGGAATTTGATCCTGGGAAGTCGTTGCTTCAAGCCACTGTGGAATGGGAGCTATCGCGTCTCCAACACTAAAATCATCTTGCACGTCGAATTGCGGAATTTGTGTGAGTATCAATAATACCCTATCATATAATGTTAGCAGCTAAGGGAACCTCAACCTTCTCATGGAGGATACATACCAAGACACCATGCGCGCTGTGAGTGGACTAATGAGTTTCAATAGCTGTATACCTCCTCTGGATTGCACCATTCCCTTGACACCATCAATATGCATTTTGGCGGCATCGATGTGACGTTTGCCATACTGACATGATGAGTCAGCCAATTTTGCAAAGTCCTCTCGAGCTCTAAACAAGAGGACATACCTCGATAGCGGCCAGGGTGACTACGGAATCCATGGTCTCGTCTTTGTATCGCAGCAACGGATTCTCTACGCGCTGTCTCACCAATGATACAGAGTCATTCATCAGGATTTCCGAGTTCAAGAAACCCCTCTGGGCCTTCAACTCCAGATCCAAACAGGCAGTTTGGAGAGAGACATGGAATAAAGCTGGGTCACCGAGCGCGAGTGGCCACCATGACACGACGAACGGGTTGGATGACATGTCCGGATCCAACGGGTAGTATTGAAACGTGATATCCGAGAGGACTAGTAGTATTTGTCTAAGCTAAAATAGGTTGTCTTACATTCGGGAGCACTTACAATGTTGCATAAGTTGCTGTACATAGGCTCGCGGTAGTCTCGTGTTCGGATACGAGTCAAACGGATCGAAAGAATTGCTTACTATAGTCTCCTGAAACATATCAAACGGTAAAGCAATACTGCCATCATTGGCAGCCTTTCCTGAGTAGGTAGTCGAATTCGGCCCGGTGGACGTGGACGTTAGCGGCTCATTCGCGTAGACACAGTCGGTAGCCTTCCTCTTCAGACATCGTGTGCACGGCACGCGAAGATCGCAGCTTGCCTTTGCTTTTGCGCAACGATCACAGGATCTCCTAAGCGTCCGGCGCATCATGGATGGGATGAAACGTTTGTGGAGAAGACAGCGTTCGTGGGTGGTAGTTGCCGGCCGGCCCATTGAGGATAGCGTCGGGGGACGGCGCAGGCTCCTACTGTCTTGGCGGTCGACAGAACGTGCCATGGGAGGGCAAAACAACACATCCATCTATCCAACTTTTTACCAGGTAAATCCTCCAAGAGCGGCTTACTGTCTCACCTCGTCACGATGTCAACTCAACATTGAATGCGGCCAGTAAACGACCCGCGCACCAGAGCCCAACTGTTTACATCTGCATCCTGGACCCACCATTTACGAGTAAACAATGCCATTGTGCCGCCAAAACAAGGTCGCCAACAAGCCACAAAAGTTCCATCTGGCATCCTCCCTGATGCCACAATCTTACATATGCGGCTGATAGGCTGCACGGAGACAGCTCCCGTTAGACCCCTGTCACAGCCTGCCTTCACCCTGGCCGTCGCCTAGTCAACACGACCAACATATGTTGGAGCAACCATTTGCCTTGGATATGAATGATACATGCGAGAACCGAGACGGCCAACCGCAGAAGCCAAGTCGCGATTCTTTCCAAAATTTGTGTAACGACGAGATTAACGGGGCCGCGTTCTCCACAGTCTATTATTAGGTCATATGGCCTGAGTATACCGAGTACCTAGTACTAGGTAGGCTGTTTTGATCCTCCACGCTACTGTTCTTGTTTCCATGTATCCCTGTTTGTTTTGGTAACCGTAGCAGTGACATCCCAGACGGGGATTCCTGGAAAGAAGTGGAGTAAGCAGACGGCAGTTGGTGACACACGGTAAGTAGGAAGATGTTTATTGTATGTTGCCACGACACTCGCCGTGCAAAACAACAAGATCCACATTGTCCAGCTGCTCCACTGATTCATAACGACTGTTTACCGTTATAGTTTTGCCAACTACGTAGTCATCACGTAATCGGTATACAGAAATCGTAACTAACTGCACTAGTCCAGGATGACTCTGCTAACTCCGTTACATCTGAAGCACCCAATAGACAACAAGACAACTCTTTGGGTAAATCTACTACACCCACAGAAGTTGTTACAATAGCGACATTGTGTGCTCCAATTATACCACAGAAAGACAATACCAATCGAAAGAACAACCTGTCTATCATTCAAAACTCCAACTTTGTCTAACCAAACCAATCCATCTCTAACAAGTCCTCCACTCCAACTTCCAAACCGCACTCTTAAAATCATAACTCCCATAATTCCCTTGCACAATGGGTCTAAAGTTGATGTTTAGAATCCCCGGATCCCCATCCGCACCCGTACACTTCGACCACTTGAGATCAGAAGTACTGCTTTGGACACTAACACGACTGTTGATATCCGGTCCATTGCATGTTAACCCTCCCGTCAGAGTACCCTATCCATCAAACACCATTAGCCCAATTCAATCACCAAGATAAGACTCCAAAGAACAAACTCACCGTATCACTAGCCCTATCACTCCAAAACACCTGCGTATACGTATCTAACCCACTCGCCCCTTTCAGTACTACATCCCCTTCATACGTAACCCCCCGCACGGCGACCTGCCAGCCAGCAGAGGCGCCTGTGGATTGCACGTGTACGGCGCAGTTGTCGGTGTTTGAGCCCCGTAGTTGGCTGAATGTTACGCCGGCTGTGTCGCCCAGGGTGGCGGAGGTGGAGGTTACGGACGAGGATGACGAGGGGCAGCCCGAGCCGGAGAAGACGAGGCGTGATATTCGGGGTGCGGTGGGTGGGGCTGCGAGGGCGAGGGGGGTGAGGAGAGGGAGGAGGGCGAGGAGGGTGGTGAGGTGCATGATGGGATGTGGGTGGTGGTGGTGGTAGTGGTTAGAAGGGGTTATGTGAGGGAAGGAGGGTGGAAGAGGAGGAAGAAGATGGAGGTAGAAGATGAGAGACAGCAGCTGTTAAGAAACCAGCGGCGTCGACGGTAGATGATATACACGATAGCCCCCTTACACCGAAGCAAGCCCGTCTTTTATACAACAACCACAAACCCCACAACCAGAAAAGAAAAAACTATATTCAGCAATACACAATCTATCCCCAGATTCCCACCCTTCTAGCCTTTTCATGCAGTGGTAGACCCTCAATCTACAATATGTAGATCCCGCACACACTCACATATATCATCAAACCACGTTATAGTACGACTACAAATCTCGCCAATTTCGCCACCACATTCCCCCTTACATACATTTAATCTTGCCACGTTCGCCACTGTTACCACATTCCTTTCCCGCATAAACTTTAATATACACGCTCCAGAGGTTATGTCCCTTGATCCTGGTTGTTCGGCGTTCCCTTCGCTTCGAGACCCTCGTGTTCACAAAGTGCGAGTGTAATACCCATACAAGGAACCGACTTTATCCATATTAAGCGAGCCGCAGGGAGACACTCTGTATACGG